CAGTCTATTTCTAATTGTTCACACACCTCCAATAACTCGATCTTTTTTCTATAGACTCAATAACTTCTCTTGGAGGTTTTTCTGATTTGAACCATTCACTCACTCCTCCAATTTGTTTTATGCGTAGAATTCGCCGACGTTCGTAATGATACTCACATGTTAATAACACAGGCATCGGGTGACTTTTATTAAAATTTTGCCTCCCAGTGGCACAGCGGTATGTCTGCGGACTTATACCGCTAGAAACCGGGTTTCGATACCCGTGGTGGGCAGAGCACAGATAGCCCTTTGTGTAGCTTTGTGCTTAATAATAAACAACAACAACAAATATTAAAGTTTAATTATCAAAATTTTCACATAAAACAAATACCGAAACAACATCTTACCACAACCAACACACTGAATTTCCATCCCATATTAAAAAAAAAAAAAGCTTTCGCACTTTCCGGTCGTTATTCAAAACTCATAACGGAGATTGCCTGTGGTAATAGCAACCCAAAAGCGTTGGAGATATCCCATCTATCAGACAAAATCCAAAAAGCAGACGAGAAACCAGTCGGCAGTCGTGGAAAATTCATAAGGTTACAGAGTTGAGTGTTTACACCCACAACGTCTCAGCTCTTACTGCCTTTCACTGTCTGCAGTCAGTTGGTTAAAAATTGCCTTCCCTTAAAAAGATATATACACAAATAGGATATACATGTAACATTACTATATTAGAAGTGGGTAAAGGAGCCAAAAACACATAACACCCCGTTTTTCCTTTATTCGTATAATATATTTTTAATGTTAAAAGCTTGCAGACAATGATGACTTGTTAGATTTTTATATACTATATGTGTGAGATATAAAATTTCCTTTAATCCAAAAATGAATACATATATTGACTAGCTCCTTTACTTTATTGTGAACTGTTTTTATTTTCTCCTAACATTACTGGAATCTAAAATTTAACTTACATGATTCTATTTCTTAATTTAGATTTTAATTTTATAGTACAATCTTTACCCCACACCCCTTTAAAAAGTTTATATTGGAAAAAAGTACAGAAGATTATAGGTATGAAATACTGATAGTATTATTGTAACTTTCTCAGTTGCATTATCTCTTGTGACGAACTGTCGCAAAATAAGTTTGATGCTCTGCTCTTTAACCATTATTTTAACATAAAGATGTGCGCCCGTTATTCCTAGGCATATCTATGATATAAGAGATGGAAGATATAAAAGACTGTTTAGTGTAGGTTGCATTAATCTTAATATAATTTGTGTCTGTAATTCATTGATGTCGAGGCTATCGAACATTGTGTTTGCATTCTATTGATGTCGAGGCTATGGATATTTCTAGGAGGCCTAAGTGATGGAGGTATAAATAGCTGCGACTAGACGAGCGGAAACAGAGTAAAAGTAAAGTCACGTGAAAGAGAAGTTTGGTCAGAGAAAAATTGGAAAACGTAAATTTAACAAAGCTGGGAGTGAATGGCCTAATGGTTGATATGTTAGAGTGAGATTAACAGTTTGAAAGAGATAAAGGTGTTCTAAACTAATTGAACCCATTTGTGTGAACTTTGAAAAAAGGCAGACGATTATTGGAAGTTCAGGATACAAATGCAGTAACTCACGCGACAGCGTGAGTGAATTATACACGGATACAATTGCGTTAAAAATATAAAAAAACAGTTCGGCTTGCCAACTGAATTCTAAAGCAATTGAATTAGCCTAAGTGAACCTTTGACAAGAAGAAGAAAACTGTAAAGTGTAAAGAATTTTTGTTTATTGTATGTAGATTTAACTTGTTTCGAATATATTGCCAGCAAGTCACAGACACCTACTGTAGAAGAATCTTTAGCCCAACACATCCATATATTTACATTACCATATATGATATAATATTACTAAAAAAAGTAGTTCCCGACAGGAGGCAAAACCTATTTAACCCCACCCATAAATTTCGATAGGTTTATGGTTTACCCTACTTGAATGGAGCTATTGGTCAAGAATAACTACTTACTATAAAAATAATAATAATAGTAATAATAATCCTAAAATGAAATTAGTAGCTGGAGACATCGAAGAGGTAAAACAGATTGAGATAAGACATGTTTGTGTGTGTAGTGGGGCTAAAATGAAAGTAAAGCAAGCTTGTCAGAAGAGTAACTGCCCAAGGCAGGCAGAAAATGGGAATTTATACCATTACTACAGTGGAAGCATCGTATAATGGGACATCTGTGGACAAAGCCATTTCCCACAAGCGAAATTAGAGGGAAACATATCATTTATATTCACAAACTTTGTAAAAGTGGCTACTGTTTATAAATTGAGATCTTAGCTAAGAAGTTGTTTATTAAATGTACTTATTAATTTATATATTCTTTGCATTAATAAATCGCCATGTATATTTATAAATTGTCATGTAGATATGCAAGTCGACACGTACGTGTAGGATATAAATATGTCGTTTAATAAGACAAAGTGTACATTTGTAACAAAATGAATGCGAAATTGTAAATTGTTGTGTGTATTTAATGAAGAAATATATATGTTTTCCAGTCATCTTGTCAATTTAAAAATAGTAGTGGCGTTTATAAACAGACTAGGCAATTCGTGATTTTCCTGAGGAACAGAAATAAAAGGACCATGACGTATGCAATATGTAAATTGCACATACAATTCCACTTAAATTGCAAGGTTACAATTGGCGCCCATACTGTTAAAAGTAATTTCAACTGTTCAATTTCAGCTCTAGTTGATTGATATTATAAGCATGCTTATTACGTTTCTGAGGAAGAAAAGGTAGATGCTTGCAGGGGTCACAAGAATATTGGTACTTGGAACAAAATAAATGATTTCAGAGTGATTTTTAGAAGCACACGATTATCTTTCTTTGTTATATACTACGCTATATACATAAAATGATCATTTGTCCAATCGCCTAACTAGGTTTCTAGGTTTAGAGCCACAAAACATCGTAACATAGGTTATGTAAATTCATATGTCCCAAAAAGGAAAAATCTTGACTTTTGGAAAATATAAATCCTTAACCCCCCCCCCTTCTTTTCATTTGAAGAAGCTGAGACAAAATAAGATTTTGATAAATTGAACTATTTAAAAGGGAATGCAGCTGCTATGATTTCAAAGAAATTTCTTGCCTAGTCCATTCGGTACTAATCTGTTGTCAAGTCAATCTAGGTGCGTTGGAAGCTAGACGTTAAAACATATATTATTTTTTAGGTCTGTGTGTTTAACACTATCAGAACCTGAACTTCTTAGTTCACTTATAAGTAAATGTATGTATGAGCACACGTATGTGTTGAATAACATATAATAACTATACAGTGAAAATGTTTAGAAATCTAGAAGCACAGTGAAAGCACAGATAGAGTTGATATGTAAGAAAAGGCGGCTTATTAGGCTTAGTGTATACGTATTTTTAGTCCCAGTGTTTGGTTCTGTATGTCAATTTGTACAAATGAAAAGAGCGATTATTAATGACAGAGAAACGACCCCTTGATGTGCCATTCCCTACACTTGTTTCCGCCAAACTGCTCTTTCTTTTGTGTGATATTGTATTAAAACGTGTGTGTAACCTAAACTTGTAACCAGAGATTCTCTGGTACTTTTCTAGATTGTCTAACAAGTTGATGGAAACTTCGAAATTCAACCAATCCACTTTTTTCTGGTTCCCTTTACCCGCCTACGCATTTCACGTGATAATATGATGCACCTCAGTGTTTGTTCACTCTATTATACGTGCAACATAATAGAATATAATGTGACGTATGT